CGAAAAAAATAAAATAAAAACCATGCATCGTTTCCGTTTTAGTGAACTACATTCCACCACACGTCCCAAAAATAAGGCACCAATCGTTTTTTGTGTTTTACGATTCGTACAAAGAAACCTTGACTAAGGCTTTTTAGTAAGTAAACTAACGACAGACTAAAGGCGGGCGCGTCCGGCCTCTTTTTACATGGTGGTCACCAGGTTTTTAGTGTCACGTTACATTTAGCGTATAATAAAAGTTAACTAACCTTTAATTCTCAACTGCCTGGATCACAATTCTCAGCTATCTTGACTTGAGGAATTCTACAAATAGGGTTTTTCATATTCTAACAATCTTGGAAATCGGAACCATCCGCAGTAAAGTGATGATGTAAACATCCCAACGGAATCCGCTGAGAATTTCCGGATTAATTTTGTATGCACTTGGTTGCATCATAAACTCGGAATTTCGACAAGAGCGAAAAATAAAAGAGCATAGTAATGACGTGGAAAAAAGGAAATGATCCATAGTGCCACTTGGAATGATCTGATGACTTGAGCTGTCAAAATTTTGCTTGAAATATTGTGTGAAAAATGAGGGGGTTCTACGCGCAGAAATCAGGCGCCCCGAGTAATTTCACAGCGCCAAAATTCCCCACTCAAAATAAAGCGCTTCCACGGGTTCTCGTAGAGCAAGAGCTTTTGCAACTTCTCCCAAAGAAAGCATTCACGGCACATAGAAAAGAAAAAAATCAGTGCAGGTTTCGCAATAATTACGAAGGAATCGAAAATATTTTCCCCCTCGCTCACCAATTATCCGATGAGAACGCGTGACCCAGGCTCGGGTCGATAACGAGCCACACGCACGCCGCGGGTGTCCTTTTGGCGAGGGCGCATCCACGGATCGGGCCATTGAAAATATTTTCCCCCTCGCTCACCAATTATCCGATGAGAACGCGTGACCCAGGCTCGGGTCGATAACGAGCCACACGCACGCCGCGGGTGTCCTTTTGGCGAGGGCGCATCCACGGATCGGGCCATAAATCGGCCGAGCACCTCAGGGCATCTGCCCACTGCCACTCACTCACACGCATACAATAGTGGTGCAAATTAAACCCCAGCTTCAGGCTTGTCCACCCACGACCCGAATCCAATCGAGCCCCTCGAAGCTGGGAATGCATTCCAGGCACCTCCCTGCTTCGCGAGACGCTCGGGTTATTNTGCCACTCACTCACACGCATACAATAGTGGTGCAAATTAAACCCCAGCTTCAGGCTTGTCCACCCACGACCCGAATCCAATCGAGCCCCTCGAAGCTGGGAATGCATTCCAGGCACCTCCCTGCTTCGCGAGACGCTCGGGTTATTATGTCATGTCAGTAATTACTGTACACCCAAAGGAAACAAAAAGAGGACCACTCAAGAACCCTACCCGCAATCATTATTCTTAATTGATAGAGTCAACGCCGTCAAGCTTTTGATTCCCACGAGTTCCAGGGAAATATAAATTAAATCGCGATTCCATTTGGGCATCTCGATTTTTTTTTTGAAGCAACACGAAATTTTCAAGGGTCTTTTTCTTCATGAAAAGCGACAAGATCCATCATATATAATACAGTATTGCCACCGGCTTCGAAAAATCCCGGAATTCGTTCCATAATTTCCTTTTATCCTCATACCAGTATTCATATCGTTGGCAAGCCTTGTTCAATAGATACATACAGACACAATTTTCGAGCACCCTAGTTTACTAGGTTTAGATGGAGCAAAAATTGCAATTTTAAAATACGATCGACGAGAGTAAAGAGATAAGGTTCACCTGCACAAATTGCACGCTCAATACATTTTCCAGTGGTCCAAAGTAAACCACATACAATATTAAAATAATTGAAGAATATTTTTTAGCGATGATGTCCCAAATCCGCAAGTCGCGTTCTGAACAAAGAAAAAAAAACGTATCTATCTGACCTCGACCGTATGTGTAAAAAGTTGCCGTGAAATTTGCATCGTAGAGCTAAAACTTGACCAGCAAACAAGGGTTTCAATAAATAAAAGATGCCATTATTTATCGGCAAGAGAACATATGCTTGCTCGGGGATTCATCGATGATCACTAATATTTCATCGGATTCTAGCTCAGAAATCAGAGTATTCCATGTAAAAATATCCACTCATTCGTGACTGTTGGTAAAACTCAGCAGGGCATATAGTGTTTTTGATCTTGACTATCTTGTTCCGTTTAAAAGCTCTTTAGTTCACGCTTTCGGGCTTGGCCTTCGACCTAAAGTAAAAATAAAAAATCCACCGCGATGGGTATCAAAATATTGAGCAACGAAAATTCCACCGCATCAGCATGGCGAACTTTCGCAACGCCATCATCATCTTGTGAGTGAACTAGATCGTTTTATTTTTATTTATTTGTTTATTTTACAATGCATGGGATTTGATGAAACAAGAGCAGAAGGGAAAGCAATGGATCAATCACAGCAGTACTCAAATGCCTTCCCTCTCTCCGGTTGATCATAAACATTCGCCGGCCCATTTCCTCTGGAAGTTGGCAAATATAGCGCCCTTATCCGCAACATCATTAAAATGATGGATCGATATTGTTTTTTGCATGCACTTTCTACCTGCCCAGGTCTCGTCGGCGGCGAACGGGTCCCAGCCACAACATCAACTGAATTATTATTGCTTTTTATGCATCGCCTAGATTGCAACGGGGTAATTAACAGTGCACAGCTGGCGAAACACTGTAGGCTGCCCGAGCAATTCACGAGGACGAGATAAATGTGGGTTTCAGCTTGAAACACAATGAAGAAAAAATAGCGGAGAAATTAGGTGTCACTGTTCTTCGAGGTTAGATTATTTGCTCCGTCACGTTTGCACAAGTAGCAGAAACAGACGAGGCAATTGTGAGGCGCAGAGGGACACAATAAGTACACTAAAAAAATATACTCCAGCACATTTCTAAATGAACTTACCTGAGATGAAGCCCAAGGACAGTTCACGACCTTCTTCCAAGCAGCTTAAACACAGTTCGTCCCAAGCTATTTTTGCAACTTTTGAGCAGCATGTTCTGCGGAATTTGCTCTCGTTTCGACAGCACCCCAAAAAACTCTCAAGACGAGCCTCTTTCTCATCATCATCATCATCATCATCTTCGAGGGAAAAGAAAATGACCTGCAAAGCTCTCAATCTCAATCTCACACCTGCGCCGACAAACTCAGGTCAATACTCGACCCGGTTCCACGCTCAAGCAAATTACTTTAATTTTCCACATACGCCCCAAGCATCCCGAGAAAGGAAGAAAGACAAGGACAAAAACTTCAACATTCAAGTTGTCTCCTCCAAAGACAAGATTTTAAAGCGTAAGTGTCACGAGTTTCTTCGAAAGTTATTTCTCCGATAAACGCTTCGTTTCAACTTCAATTCTGAGGGAACATCTTTTTCGGTTCCCCCACGTCAAAAAAAATTCAAAAAATAAAAACAATTGACAAGAAAAAATGGATTTTCTTAAACATCTGTGAGACCAATGAAATATGACTTGAAAAAAGTCTGCTCATTAGCTAAGAATGTTCCAAAAAACAACAAACCCGGATTACATTTCATTCATCAACTGAAAATTCAGAGCAACCATCACAATACCAGAAACATTATCAGAACAGTTTTTAAATGGCTAAAGGTAGTACTGTAATATCTTGCAAATCCGTCACTGATTTTCAATGATTTTAAATATTTGACAGCACGTGAGCCTCATGCGACAACGTCAAACAAGCAACAGCGGCAGAAGAAAATAAACCTGAACATAATGTGATGAACTTTCAATTCTTTGAGCTGTCTCCAATTCAATCTGGAGAAACAAAAAATTGGAAAAGTGATGAGGAAACGATCACTTACCTTACGCATTAAAACTGAATATTTTTACAACTATTCAATAGGTTGAACAAAAGTGGACTCTACTTCGGGTTCCTGTCAAGTGCTGGAAGAAGGTTCGTCGAATTTGTGTCAAGCAGGGTTCGATAAAAACGTTGAAAACTCGTCGTACAAGACGCCTTAAACGAGAGCAAAGCTGTCGTGGTAAAAAAAACTCTCAAGACGAGCCTCTTTCTCATCATCATCATCATCTTCGAGGGAAAAGAAAATGACCTGCGAAGCTCTCAATCTCAATCTCACACCTGCGCCGACAAACTCAGGTCAATACTCGACCCGGTTCCACGCTCAAGCAAATTACTTTAATTTTCCACATACGCCCCAAGCATCCCGAGAAAGGAATAAAGACAAGGACAAAAACTTCAACATTCAAGTTGTCTCCTCCAAAGACAAGATTTTAAAACGTAAGTGTCACGAGTTTCTTCGAAAGATATTTCTCCGAGAAACGCTTCAACTTCAACTTTGAGGGAACATCTTTTTCGGTTTCCCCACATTAAAAAAAATCCAAAAATAAAAACGTTTCACAAGAAAAAAAGGATTTTCTTGAACATCTGTGAGACCAATGGAATATGACTTGAAAAAAGTCTGCTCATTTGCTAAGAATGTTCCAAAAACCCAGAAACTCGGAATAAATTTCACTCATCAACTGAAAATTTAGGGCAGCTATCACAATACCAGAAAAATTATCAGAACATTTTTTAAATGGCTAAAGGTAGTAATATCTTGCAAATCCGTCACTGATTCTCAATGATTTTAAATATTTGACAGCACGTGAGCCTCATGCGACAACATCAAACAAGCAACAGCGGCAGAAGAAAAAAAAACCTGAACATGATGTAATTAACTTTATTAAGAAACTCGACAGAGGTTAAGTTAGACCTCTTTGTTTTTTAACCTTTTCACTACTCCTTTGCTAGTGAATGGAATGCGTAATTTTGACTTATAAAAATGTTGATAAGTTATCCAACTTGTTTTCACTGAAAATTTAATTCTCGCAAGAAATTTCCTGCATTTCATTGACAGAATAGGAAGTGATTGTGACTCGGGTTGAGGCCCTAAAAAATAAAAAAGATGATATTCGCAGGGCTCTCACCTCGGCTTCTTGATGAGAAGGCGAAGAATGAAGTCCTTGGCGTTGTCGGAAATGTCAGCAAAGAGGTCCTCGGGAAAGTCCACAATGGCTTTCGTGATGTTACAGAAAGTGTCCTGCTTGGTCTCGCCTCCGAACGGCGAACAACCGGTCAACAAAACGTAGGTCAGCACTCCGACAGACCTAGGAAAAAAGGAGAGAACATTTCAAAAAGAGAAATTAGTTGTGTAAAAATTGGAGGATCCGGAAAACTTCATTGCCCGGATTACGAAGAACATCGCGGCTTACATTCAAATTCAAAATGTTGAAAAAAATAAATCAATTACGAAACGCATTGAGCAATATATAAAGTACATTCTATGGGCGAAACTATCGAGACACTACAAAGAACATTTTTCACACATGAAAAATGCAGAATTTGCCCCTTGAAGTTCAATTTAAAAAGACTATGCAAAAATCGGTCGACTGTACGCAGGTCAGTATTTCAACCAACGTAAAAAACATTCAAAACATATAAATTACTGAGATAAAAATCGTCGGATCTGGAAAAATACCTTGTTCGGAATTACAAAAAAAAAAAAAACATCGCATCGCGGCTGACACGCGAATTCGAAAAATGATCTGTTATTCTAAAAAATAACTAGCGAAGAAACACAAACAGGAACATTTTGAACAATAAATCGAGATTTTTCAAGCCAAGAAAAAAAAAATGCAAGACGCTTCAAACAGCATTTATTTTTTTAGGCATGTAAAAATTGCAACATGCAACCTTGCAGTTTAATCTTGAAAATCCTAACAAGAATCGAATGCACTTTTCCCCCGCTTCAATTCACTCGCTTTGATTCAGTCGTTCACCCTGGAAAGGCCAGGATTAAACAATTTCGGGGACATATTTTCTCGACAAATACTTCTCAACACAAAGGGAATACAGTACTTGAGTCCACTGGGAACGCAATCAACCAGAGCATGAACCTAAACAGAACAACCGTGACACCGTAACCTTGCGGCGGAAACAAAAAAAATCACGAATTGATACAAAATTTTCAATTTTCGGAAAGCAAAAAAAAAAAAAAAGCTCGAATCGTGAAGGTCACGCTTCCACATCAATGAAACCAGTTAAAATTCAGAAGAAAAACGTCGTTCGCCTTTTCGCAAGAAGCAAAGAAGGCGGCAGTTCAAACATTTGAGCTCCGCCACGGTCGTTTTCTGGTTGCACAAGCGCAGGTAAGAAACGCGGAAGGTGTGAACCATGTTTATTCTTCGCAGTATTTTCCCATGGGATCCGTCCTTCATTTCCTCCCAGTCGGTGGAGTAACTCGAACGATCGTTGGTTTTTATTTCCCCGTTTTCCCATAGTAATTCGCCGTTACAATATCCGTCTCTAACGAGGCATTTCTGCCTCAACAAACTAAAGCTCGCATCCGACGAATCTTCCACACTTGCGCTCCAAATGACGATCCGAAACAAAACTAAGCAACCAGTCAAGCGAAAATAAACCCGTTTTTTTCCTTCGGTTTACGACAGAAACAAAAAAACAATCCCTAGTTTCGCAAGCTTTGCAAATTAGTCAGGGTTTAAAATTCGAATAAAATCTCGCCGAAGTATTAAAAAAGTCGAGTACCAGTCGCAACAGAGAGGCCCACGAAAACAAGAATGAATGAAAAAAAAAACTATCCCATTTTTAGCATTACCAATGGATTCAAAAGTTTTTCTTTTGAACTTATTGATTGACGCAAAAACAGCATCATCAATCAATCAGATCAAGTTGTTTCCCTTCGTTAGTTGACTTCCAGTTCGTTCTGAAAAAAAATAAAATAAACACAGCTGGGTTTGACAGTATTCATACGTTTCGTCAAATCGTAATCCTCTGTGGAAGGCTCGTTGGATGATTGGAAATGGAGAACATGAATAATATTCAATCCTTTCATGATCACGGTTTCAAATTTTTACTTCTCCCTTATTTAAAATGAAGAGAAAGCAGATGATTGAAAAGGGGCAGCATCACCGCGGAGCGGGGAAGTTTATTGTCGAAATTTGCATGCTTCATGAACTTGAAAATATAAAGATTTAAAATCGCTTTTGGTGAAAATAACTCAATTGAAAGAGTACTGATCATCACAAGTTTCGTATTGAAAATGCTGTCCGTGAAGGTTGTGAGCCGAAAATTGGAAATGGTGAACATTCAATCAGATTTTAAAATTGAGAATTGTGTGCCAATAAAAAGTGTTCTTCGAGTCCTGATCCCATAAATCTTTCGACTATTCCGGCTTCGATTTTTTTTTTCAACGAAGGAACTCGAAGTACTGATGAATTTTCTAAAAACCATTCCTAACATTCAAAAATGAACATTAAAGAGCACGAAAAATTGCTCATGACGCAGTTTTTGATGCTCCTCGTCGGGTAAAACAATGTTTTAAACAGTGGGGTCGTGGGAAATTTCTCGGAATAAAAAAAAGCATCTCGAGAAAATTCAAGCTAATGAGGAATTCCATGAGAATTTTTTTCCACTAAAGAAGAGAAGAGATTTGTCGTGAAATATTCCAGAATAAAAGGCAGCTTCAGTAGCCATTTTTTTTTAAACCTTGCCTTGAAGCTTTTAAATCCTTTATAAAAATTTCATTCATGGGTTTGAGCTCCTTTTCCGTAGCAGGTTTAACGAAACTCAAGACTTAAAAATGAAGACGTGGTGAAAAAAAAAGAAAACTTTTTTTTTCTTCCTCGGGAGACATTTCTTGGTTTTCCTCGTCTCAAGATCATAATTCCATGCAAGATAAAAGATCAAAACACAAATTGGGAGTAACGGCACTGATTAGAGAGAGAGAACTGGTTATCGACTCGCCTGGAATGAACAAGTACGGCTAATGGTACCACAACAACTTCTTTCTCTAAACAGAGTCCCCACACGATTCACCAAAAAGAATCCGATCATCATCAACAAGAAACAATAGAGAAAAAATAGTATTTTTCCTCAACTTTCCCCGCTCATAAAATTGCACGAAATTATGCATTCTACCTATTTAAAATTTGAGTAACATCGTGTCGTTCAAGACATTATCTCCAATTGAATTTTCTCATTCTTTTGAGTTGCAGTGGTTCATACTAGAAGAGAATACCTCATGTAAAATGCCGCATTGTATTTTATTTTTTTCCTGGGGGGCGTATTGGGGCCAATACGAAAAAGAAAGACGGTTTCAAAATGCCATCAATTCTTTTTCCCCTACCGAAATGGCGCCACTAGGGCACAAGGCGCCCGTTTTGGTTCGTCAAGTTTTTGTGGTGACACCGACAACTCGGGGAGATGTGAAGCGTTGCAGATGGCGATTTCAGATATGCAGGCGAAAGAAAATTTTCTCCTCGGTAATGAGCACCACTGAGATGATCGGTCGATTAGGGGGAGGGGGGTACTCTCAATGATCGCATCTCGCGAGCAGTGATTTGTAAAAAGCTCGAAACGCCGCACGACCGTTTATCAGTCATCACGAATGCTGAACGGGTAACGAAGCCAATGAACCGATAAATGGACACAACAACAGGAAGGTTTCTTCTTTTTTTTATTCCATATCAGAACCGATGCTGGAATAAAAGAAAAAAATACATTATTAAAAAAAAGAGTACGGTATAACTTAATCACCAGGGCTCTCAAATGAACAACCGCGTTTCTGGAAGTACTCCCTTTTACAGAATCTACGACGTCAAACGAGATTTTTAGTTCTTTTCAAGCGAAGTATAGGGCTTTCACGTTCACATTTTTTTTTATCGCTTGAGATGTTTAGTCGTGGAAAATCCAAGAGAAAAGCTGCAATAAAACGCTCATCCATTTTCCGGAGCAAAATAAAATTGAAAGCTACATAAAGGTACAATAAATAAAAGCTGTTCCATTTGGCTCACGAAGACAAAGACAAAAAAGCCGTTCCAGAAAGTTGGAACATTTTTGTCACCCCGTTAGAGCATGTCGTGTTCGTCACAGCGGAGAAACTCTATTCAAGCACTACAGTGAAATGATTCGAAAAAAGGATTGATATAAAACGAGAATAATTTAATCACACGTGACCTCAAACGGTCAACCGCGTTTCTAAAACATAATTTCCTGGAAAAACGTTGAAACTAAACAAGAGTCACATGCTCGACCCGCCCAGAAAATCGAATTCCTGATTTTAAAAGCTAACTTTTCTTCACACAAAATAATGAAAAGTCGGATGAAATTTGAAATAGGACACCAGAAGGAAAATTCTGCAGTTGACAAAAAAAATTGAGAAGATCTTCCTCCAAGAATCCTTTTTGCCACTAAATTGTTAGGCTTTTGCTAAGAATGAACTTCCCTTTCACAATTCCATCATTTCACAACAAGGAAGCGCAGTTGATCAGTTTCTCGTCCCGATTGTACAGCCTCGATCAAAAAATTGCCTGAATTTTAAACGTAGTTACATTGAGGAATTAATCAATTCGTGATTATAAGATTGCATCATTGAGGCACGCCGCAAACATTTAAAAAGTGCACAGTATTTTAATACTGCACATGCTCACGACAGCAAAAAAAAAAAAATATATATATATATATATATATTTTTATCCTCGACAAAAAGACGGATGAGCAAAAAAAAAAAAACCTGATCGAATTTGAGCACATGTGTGAGGAAATAAAAGACCCTGAGCTTTCGCGATGAAGTTCCGTTATCCAGCACAGAGCACCAAGTGCTCGTTTTTTCTCGCATGATAGGAAATAATAGAGCTACAATTGCTCCAACGAAGGGGAAGATGAAAACGGAAGAGAGAGAGAGAGAATCCTATCCGAGATATACTTGACGATTTCCGCGCCACAAGAAATGGACTTTGAATACGTCATGTTATCCAAGTTCGGCTCTTTTGTCTCCCAAACCCTACACGAAAAAAAAAGTTGCTTACCATTGTCTAACAAAGCCAGCCTCTGGAAATTGTTAAAAACCCAACGGTGCTTTTAGCCCACGAATCCACCTGTGGACTCGTAGGAACTTCCTTGCACTACGAAAAAAAAAAAAATAACGATGTAACTGTGCTGATCTTTCTTCCACTCCGTCAGACGAGATCTTTTCTAGTTCTTTTCATGCGATGTTTACGCCTTTCACGTTTCAATTTTTGTTCGCTCGAAATGTTCTGTCGTGGAAAATCCAAGAGAAAAGCTTCCATAAAACGTTCATCCATTTTCCAGAGCCACAAAACTTGAAAGCTACATGAACGTACGATAACTAAAAGCTCTTCCATTTGGCACACTTGGCTCACAAAGACGAAGACAAAATAAAAACCGTTCTGGAAAGTGGGCAATCTTTCGTCACCCCGTTAGAGCGTGTTGTGTTCGTCACAACGAAGAAAATTCATTCAAGCACCACAGTGGAAGAATCACGAGGAACAGGAAAAAGAGCTGCCCGGCTTAAATTGCTCTGTCACGACGGCAAAGTTTAGCAATACAGGAATACAAAAAAAAACAAAAAAAATAAAAAAACAATTTTTTGAGGTCCAAGTGCTTGCGAAAGAGGTCTTTCACCATTTCATTATCTGCTTTATTTTGACTAGCATAAAGTTGAGACATGAAAAAATTTATATTTCCCTCATCCTTTTTTGTTGTTGTTAGGATGGACAAGGTCATAAAGCTTCATCAACTAGGGATCCTCGAAGATTGTTTGTTGCGCCGGGTGTCCTCTCGGCATTAATAACAGGAATTTTAAGTAAAAGCCTTCTTAGACTCCGGACCTCCACGAAGTTCTCTATGCCCTTGAATGAAGGCTTCTTCCTGATTCCAGCTACTAAGCTCTTTTATTTTCAGTCATTATCACGACAAAAATGCAAGCGTGGTAAAAAAAAAAACATCATCATCATACGAGTATCATACCAAAGTACTGTACAAAAAAGAACCGATCAAGGGCTTCTGGCAAGGAAAATTAATTTCCCAGACAAAAATATGCTAATCAAAGCCAATGTCTACGCACGATTGAATAAAAAATTAATTCGTGCTTCGAAAAACTCCGTTACCAACTTCCATTGCATGAATTAGCCTGAACACTCGTGAATCAACGAAGTCGGATACAGTATAACTGAAGGCACCATATAACTTCGAATAGTATTCATATTACGCCAAGAATACTCTTTCAAATCGTTATTTCACAGAATTTGTCGGGACCGATTGGCGGCCAACCTTGGAGTGCCAAAAGAACACTTCAAAATAGTGAGCAAATTTAATTATGCATGCGCCCTGTTCATTTCCTGCTTCATTCTTGATTTCGGAAATTTCGCAACTCTCTTTCCAAGCTATTCATTTCCTGATCATTTCACGCTGAAGAGGCTAATTCAGTAATGAAATAAGCAAACAATACAATCGCGGTAATGATGGAGCATTTTTCCGCGTCACTCTCATATCCATTCTCAATCAAGGAAAATTTTTCGCATTCTGAAGGAAGCCTTTTTTAAAGTGATTCGAAGAACTGACGAGAAATAGGACCCAGAAACACAAAGCCAATCGAAGTTTAAAGGGGACTGAAAATCATAATACAGGTGTACTCTCTCCAACGAAATTCAGGCGACACAAATTTCTTTTTTGAGAACCAGTATAGGATGGGTAGAGACACCCTATGGGACCAAGAATAACAAATAAAATTCGCTATACAGAGTAACGCAACTGAGCTGTTACAATGACAGCAGGGCCCAAGGTTCCCCAACTAGTTTCCTAAAACAGAGTTTTTTTTCTTCTTTCTAGAAAACAATTCAGATGAATGCCGACGGTATTCACTGGGCGAGCTAATTTTTTTTTTTAGTTGAAACAGAAACCAGGCTAACCACGAGACAAAGAATTTCCGTAACTCAGTTCCTCCACACCGGACCACTTAATCGGGCGGTCATTAACGATTCGTCCATCTGGACAGACGGGCCAACTTTTCGGTTCACGACGACAGAATGGGACCAAGAACCAGTGTTTTTTTTCTTCGTCTTCTCATACCTTTCTAGGACTTGGTAAGAAAAACAAAAATTGAAGGCGAGTCGCTTGAAAAGTCGCGGCCTCGCACGAAGATCATTAACCTTTCGCGGCACAGAGAATTTCAGCCCACGACAGCACGGATTTACTTACGCCGCGTAACAGCGCGTGAGAAACACGGCAATGAGCAGCCCTAATTAACGCCACCATAACTCGCCTTCACGAGATAATATCTCGCCGCCACAGTTCAGAACCTACTACGGGTGAATCCGACGCAAAGGCAGTATAAATACCGCTACGAAGGCCTAAATTTAGCCCCGTGACTTCCGCAAAGCTTTAATTGCGGGACTGTATGAGCGTGGGGGAAAAAACGCAAATGAGCGCGAGGAAAGCAACGATTCCGCAACTCGTTGTGCAACGAGGATCACATTTATTCCAGTCTGCCAGGCCGGTACAATGTTTTTAAAAATTAATTGCAACGCCGATGCGAGGAATGGATGATACGTCTTGTCAGCACATTTTAATAGACGTCCTTCAGATATTTATGTTTTTACATTTGAGAATCAGAATCCTATGAAGCACTATGGGATTAATATAGAGGTTTCAGATATTATTATTTTTAAAACTGACAACCCGAATCCTACGACGCACAATGGGATTAAAATCGAGCTTACAAAAAATCACACGTCATTTGCTATGTACCATCTCATATTGCAGTCCGCGGACTTCGACAACTGTTTGTTTACCAATTGACATTTTAACATTCGGCAACCTCAAGCTGATAAATTACAAGATCAGAAAATTTATTTTCTGATCTTAAATAAAATATAAATAATATCTTAAATAAATTATAAATAATATCTTAAATAATATCTTCAATAAATTAAATACAGGTACTGTATATGCCTGATCGGTAATGCATACATTGTCACTGAGAAGATTTTCAAATTGCTTGAATGAAATATTTGGCAGGTGATCGTCGATTTCTCCAAATCGTAAGGCGTATATTGAACTCTGGCATTTTTTCAATTTCTACTCAAGTTGATTAAAAAATGAGCCAGAAAATCACTCTCCCGCAAATTACTCAAAAAAAGACGACCATTTATTATAACCCACAACACGTGAAAAATGAGAAAAAAACATGGCAGAGAAAATGCATGTTCATATCCTCTTGATGAAAAGGATATGAATCTCAGGAAAGCTTTCAAATCCCCAAAAGGAAAAATGCGGAGTCTTCAAGCGAAAAATGTCACGTTATGCCGTTAGATCACAGCGAAATTGACGCCTCCTCGCACATTTGAAGAGGGCGAAGCAAACATCAAAAGGATATAATTAATGCTTCACCAAACTCTGGAGTACCAACTCGCAGTCGCCAGTTCCGAACCAGGGACAACCACTTAATCACCGACTTATTCCCGTCGATTCACTCAACAGGGGGTTGGTTCTTTTTGTTTCCTCCCATCGCCATTAATCAGGCTCACGAAAAACCACAAACGAGGGACTTCAACGTGCGAATCAGCAGCTTCAGAAAACGGGGCCCGAATCCTCGCCGCTCGTCCACGATAAGTGGAACTTGTGGGGAAACCGAACCCTTTAATCTAAGCCTCAGTTGGAGCGTGAAAAGCAATCAAACTGTTCTGAAATTGAGCACCAGTCCGACATTACTTGCCTCAAAATAAATCCCGTTACAAACTACGTCAGGGGCATGAAAAACAATTGACACCGTTTCAAAACCGATGATCGATCGCCCCCCCCCCCCCCCTTCCACAACATAACCCGACCTTAATCATTCACTATAAAAATCATATTTCTTAAAATTGCACTACGACGTATATACGGTATGATTTACGTGGGCAGGTCGGGAAAAAATGGAATACCATCGGCTGTACAATGAATAAATCATGTAGACTTGATCCATATTCCAAACATTTTTCTTCCCAGCTTTGCATAAATTTCTCAGCTCTTTCAATTCAAGGGCGTTGTAAAATTTAGTTTTTTTTGCAGTTTTTATCTTCCAAATTTCAAGTACCGTAGCCCCGTCTGAACCTTTTGGTGTTACAGTATTTGAAAACTACTCATGATTTACGGGCAATATTTGAATATTTTCCTTCTTTCCCAGATGTTCAGCGGAAATTACATCTCACATGAGATTTAAACAGACCATATATAGTATTATGCAATACTCTAAAATCCTGCAAGGAATGAATGAGCATTTGGAGATCGACTGGTGGCTACTTTTTTCCCTTCCGACATTCGCGGGAGCAAACTGGCATGGAAATAAAAATTATTTCGCATGATCTGATGCCATATTTTTCTTGATCTCAACGTGCAAATATTACAAAAAAGTTTACTTCTTTCGAAAATCCCATACATTTGACACCCACTATAAATTTTGCTTTCACTGACGAATACTTTTCCGATCGTCAGGTTGCCCCATCAAATCTCGCTGCTCAAAAGATTGGACCGACGACGAAAAAGGACAAGTCGAAACTGAACAAAGCACAAAAAAATATCTCACCACATGTCTGTCGCCAGGCTGATGGGCTCGTAGTTCAGCACCTCAGGGGCTGCAATGAAAAGGGGGAAACCCAGCTCAGTACCTCATTAATCAGAAATATTGCATTCCACAGTATTTTCATTTCAAAGAGTAAACTTATGTTCGAACCAAGCAATCAATGCTCAAATGTACCAGAGCAACAGGCTCTCACAAGAAAAAAATACGGTACATGAGAGGAAATGAAAATGCTTATCCAAACGATGAAAATAAAAATGAAGTTCAAGCCAAATTACGATCAACTCACCAACATAATCCGGGGTTCCCATTATTTCCCGGACCTCGGCGCCATTCGTAATCAAGCGAGAAATTCCGAAGTCGCACAATTTCACATCGCACTTCGGAAAGTCGCCATTCAGCACAATATTTTGAGGCTGAAATTACAGAAACATAAAATTAATTAGAACACGTCAAAAAATGTTCAAGCCAGAATTGCGGAGATCCATGCAGAAGTTTCGTTTTTAGAAGAATTTTTCCGGGGCTTTTAAAGAATTGAAGAAAAATGGCAAACAAATTTTCACATGTCACCAGAAATATTAAACAAATGTTTCATATGCGGCACTTCGTTGGATTGGAATAACAGTTTTATCCAACCATGTTGAAAAATCGATACACATATCCATAAACAGCGATGAACAATCCGCTCCGCTGACTTGACATTTTTTTCGTCAACGGCACAGACGTGTCCCTAAATTACAGGGTAACGGGTAATCATTTCTCATTGAAGGTTAATTATTTTTTCAAAGCCTCAAAATTTACTTCCATCTTTCGGAACAGATGAAAAATCAGACGCACTCTCATTTCTGAGCTCTGGGAACGATTCCAGGCTCAGCATTTTCGGTTTTTGACTGAATGCTCGCAAAACTGATCGACCATCAGAAACCGAAAACACCATATTTAGCGAGGGAAGCCATTGATTATATGACGCACCTGTGCTTTTTTTAAATGAAAAATGATAATTTTCCCGCGAATTGAAAATTTGCAGTACGGTATTTACATTTCATTGAAAATCTACAGAATCAAACGGGTCAGTTTTTTTTTTACTTGTTCTTTAAAAAACTTCAGAAATGCATCACGATATTATTTCCTATCCCTTCGAACAGTAAATTATATTGCAGTAATTATTTTTGGTCAGTACTGTATTTGATTTTCCGACCATTTTCAAACATGTCCCGCTGATCAGACGAAATCATGCGTCTTTCCAACCATTCCAAGGCTTTCATTAGCCGTAAGAAGCCGTCGAATGTCAAAATGCTTATTTTTTTAAGAAGAAAAAGAAAAAAAAGTATCGTCGATTAAAAATGGCATTCTTTCCACGTGAATGAAACAACACGCAGAACGATGCCTTTGATCATAAGGACCAGCTGGCTCAAGACGACAGCCGGGAACAAAGGAATTCCATCGGGGACAAAGGAAAGGAACACGCCCGACACCCCTGAGTTCAAATTAGGACGGAAGGCCGGAAAAAACGTCGGGACGGGAAAAACACCCTGGAGCTCTCGACACTCACCTTGATGTCGAGGTGGGCCAGGTCGTGGCGATGTAGGAATGACAGGCCCTTCAAGACATCTCTGAGACACTTGGCCGCGTCCACCTCGCTCGGAATGCGATCTTCATCCAAGATCGTCTGCAAGTCTCCGCCTCGAGCCCTGGAACGTAGAAAAAAAAAAGAAAAAAAAAGAATATCCATTAATACATACACCCATATGCACGCTTTATATAAGTGAGCGCGACTCAAATAAGAAACCACACGATCTGGGAGAAAAATCCCCACCCACGACCACCTAAAGACTCGACAAGCGAGCACAATTCAGAAAAAAACGAATGATAAATACATTGAGTAAGCGTGACATGTGAAAAAATACCTTTGAAAAATGTCCCGTAACAAGAAAATTCACATATTTTTTCGCAGATCTTTAAAAGCTGTACACAAAAAGGAACAGAACTGCGCTTTACAATTTAAAACGTGTGACGATGATATTATCCGTGGATGAGAGAATTTCATGAGTAGCGACATTAATTTCAAAAGCGGGAAAGCGCTCAAGGACACCATAAAATATTTCAAGTTAATTTTTCCCATGCCAAAAGCAGGGTTTTCCTTAATTTCAACCACGTACGTAAAAACCCATTCCGATTAAAGAATTACTTCAAACTTTTTTTTCCATTTGATCGTCCATCGCACGGCCGTAATCTCGAAGTATCGAAACTTCTTCTAGCATTAAGTGCAAACTGCGAACGATACATTTATTCAAACAAAAAAGAATCTAAGGTTTTTATACTTCCTCAAGATATTCATGGCACCATCGCACTTGCAGAACTCATCACATAAATCATAAGCACAAGATGTGAACAATCCAAGCGATCCGCTATCAATCCAACGGCATTTTTCAGAAGAATGACTTTTGCATTGGAAGCCAAAAAGCGTGGACTTCCAAAAACATTTCCAAGATTTCAACAAAAGGAACAAAAAAAGAACGAAACCCAACACAGACAAGGAACAGCTTTTATTGGTTACCTCGTTAGCCGAACGGAATTTCAAATGGTCAGATGCATAATAATTTCTCTTAAAAGCGATTTTTCTTGAGGAAAACGAACTGTATCTCAAAAATACAATTACAAGAATTTCCTGAGCATCACTCGCAGTACTGTGGTGTACTCATACTAAAAAGGTGTAATTGATACCGTGCTCCAACGAAATGCAGATAAAATCTTTTCCACGACGAACTTCTCGGGGTCCAGACAAAAATTCATTACAGTGAGATTTCTACGAAAAACTATGAAATTTTCAAATTAAAAATGAGGTTCATTCCATCTGACCTACAGATATGGATTTTTCCAGAATAGCAAAAGTGACAGAAGGTAATTACCGCATTCCTACACACACGGAACAATAAAAAATTAAATCTTACGCAGTTCAACTAACGCAAAAATTCCATGAAAATGTACGAGTTTTGCCTGGGTATTTTCCTATTTTAAAAGCTCTGAAAGTCCTTCCTAACCTATCTAAGATTACGGAACATGCAAATCAATATGTTGCTCATCTCATCTGAAACTAGCCAAACGTTTTAAAAATTTAGTAACAGTACAGTATTTTATTGATGAAACAGTGGAATATGCCTCCAACGGCACTGAACTGCAGTTATTCCTTAAATCAAGCATCTGCAGAGGTTGAGGGGCAGAATGTAAACAGAGGCATTGCTCTTTCTTTTGTTTCGGTATTTACAAATAAACTTGCATTGCTTTATAATCATCATTTCTCAACAATGAATCCTTGTGCATCATAACTTTCAAGATCGGCCACGAACACTCCTACCTTCATTAGATTGCTTCCAGGTTGGTCACGAAAATCGAAAACAGGCGGCCAATCTTCAGTAAAATTCCAATTACCTTGTGTTCTTGAAAAATTGACCAAGGAAATCGAAAATGAAGCATCATTCACCTGCAGAATTGCATTTACATGGTGTTTTTTCAACAAGATTCGGAGGGAAATTGAAAACACAAATGCGGATATAAATTACACTCAGGTCGCAATCAAAACAGAGAAAGGCAGCGGGGAAACAAAAACAAAACAAAAATGAAGTCGAGAGAATTTACTCTTCTTGCGTTGCTTTCCTTCGCCCAGACGGGCGAACACCGCTACTCGTCCTTCGCGTGCCACGAATTTGAATTTGCACTCGCCCGATTCGCAATTACAGATCCAACCTCCCGCTCCGTTCGTGACGACACAAGAGTACGAAACAAACAAACAAACGAAACGAAACGAAAAGCGGGGGGTAAAAAAAAGGAGGAATCGGAATCACATTGGTAATCCGACCCGTGTTACGGGTTCCCGAAGTTCGACGATTATTCAACAGACGAGAGGCGAAGTTCCCGTTCTGATCCGCATCACAAACAGGTCGGAACTTTCTTTTTCGGTGAATATTTTATTTCAAAGTACCGTTACGGACCTGTCCGGAAATTATCGGCGATGGGAAGTGTGAAATTCGCTTGTTCCACTGGCAAGAAAGGTCGGATTAGAATGGAGAAGAAAGAAACAGTGCTTTCAATGATGCAATTTGACGACTTCACTGATTACCGCAGCAAAAAAATGAAAAGTGAAAATGCTAATACAGGAAGAAATTCCAAGCGTGATTCTGACGTTGAAAAAAAAAACCTTGATGAATGATAGTCAGAGAAAGAGAGATCAAACGTTGTTCATCAACATACGCTCCTCGGGAAATTTGGCGTCAGGAAAATGCTGAACGCATAAAATGCGAGAATGAAGATAAAAACTCCCAAACAAAAGCAGCAAAATTAAATCCTATTTTTCCGCTGAAAAGGTGCACATAGCAATCGCATACCTTCTAAAGTTTTTCGAATTTTTCTCGTCGTCATATCAATTGATCTTAATTTTAGCCTGAATACAAGACCTGAAATACAGGTTCCAATTAGTTTTGCAAATCATTACAACCGTTCAACACTAATGGAATGCATCTTTTTCACAAAATTTTAAATAGATGAGAAAATGTCAACCCATCCCCGATTTTATTTTTCAAAATACCTACAGCATTGAAGTTGCTGCGGGATTTTTGCACAAGCGGGAATCTGTTTCGCACCCATTCGGATTGCTGGTTGAAACGAAGCATTATTCAGTAACACGTCAATCAATCAAACTACTGACGATGAGTGAGCTTTCACCGCTGATGATCGCGAAGAATTATTGCTTCGTTAAGGGGAGACAGAAGAAAAGTTGCATAAATGTTTCTATTTTCATCATACGCAAACAGATGAAGAAAATTTGGAATGCGAAACAGTGGCAGTGAAGAATATGAAGCATAGGTTTCGCGACTTATAGCGTTTCAATTGATGACTGAACAGCATGAACACTCGGACCTTACGAGAGCCACGTGATGAAATCAGGACTTGAAATTCGACTCGCAAACTGACAAAAACAAAAAACAAAGGTAATCCTTGCGCAATTCAAACTTTTTACTCCCTCGGACTTCCTGGCCACATTCACGAGTGCAAATGAATTGCATAGCGAAAAGCAACGGATTTTCAATGAGCAAATATTTCCTTTTCAGAATAAAGATTCGTTTCTTACAAACGTAGAATCACAAAACAAAAGGAAACCGAAAAATTTACAGCGAGGCACACATAAAAAAAGTCCCCATTTTCGCTGTGTTCCGCACTCGGGTTGAAAAATCACGAAGAGGCTTTTTAAATTATTTCTAGGTCGAGTACGCAGATAAGTTTTGAAAAGAACATTTCCCTAATAAGTAGAAATACAAATGAAAAATACCTTAATCTCTCATAATAAAAAAAATTATGGAAGCATTCAATACAAATGAAATGCAAATGTACACTGGAACAGCCAGTACAGTAATGCTCTTTCGCACACAGGAGGAACATTATAAGCAGGTGGAACAAGAACCACTGTTATATTAAAATGTCAGATTTACTCGCACTAAAACATCCGACGCTTCAATCAAAGAGGCAATACCCCCGTTTTCCCGAGAATACGACACCTCTCGTCGCATACTTACACAGTGCCTCAAAAAAAGGGGGTAGGGGGTAACAGTTTAACGAGGTTAACAAATATTTTCAAGTAAAACGCAAAATAAAATAAGATGTCTTTCCATTGGCACTTGCAGTGCATGTTTTAAAAATAAAATTTGAGAGGCGAACCGATGAGAAAATAATTTAGATGAACGGAAAGACCTAGACATTTTTTTGTACGAAGAAAAGTTTCAGTTTCTCAGCATTACATTTAATTTCAGCGTAGGGTATTTTCTGCAAGCAAGGGAAACGCATATTTAATGGTAAAGTCGAATTCGTGGGAGACAACGGGTTGGGAAATCGGCCATTCAAATGTAAACATTTCTCATCTTGCATTAACTTTTTTTTTTTTGTGTGGCGTACTCCTCGACTTTACAAAACAATTATCCACTCAAGCGCATTTTTTGAAGCATGAATTTCGCTTCGGATTTCAACATTCGAGACAAGAGCAAACAGAACTCACAATTCCAGGATCAGAACGAGCTCGTTCGGCGAGTCGAACACGTGATGTAGGGTGACGATCTGCGGACAATGCAGAGACTGGGTCAACACGGCGACCTCGTGTATCAGCTCGTCCGGGATGAACGAGTCCAGACCTGGGACTCTTTTTCGACCTCGTTTCCGCACCAACTTGGCAGCAAATTCCCGACCCGTGGCCAACTGAACGCATCTCCTCACCGTCGCAAACTTTCCTCTGCAAAAAAAACAAGTAGAAAACGAAACATGTTTAAAATTCTACAAAATATTTTCAGGTTTTTCCCAATGCATCGAAGTCTGAAGTGGCCGCAAAAAGAAGACTAATGACGTGGATCCTTCATATTTCACGTCGAAAAAATGGAACCGCGGACAACATTTTATTCTCTAGCTCCTATTCCCGGTTATCAGCGAGACAGGCTCAAGAAATATGATACATTTTCACCAAGCTTTATGAATTCCTAGCGGGATTTTTCGAAGACACTCAATACCTCAAGGGATTCGTCCAGCAAGTAATTCTGCAAATAGGAGAAAAGAGACCAAAAGCGACGAGGAAAAAGGTGTCTACTGAAATGCACCCACGACCAACTGCTTTCTTTAGAAACTCATCTTGTTTTGTCGCGTATTTCATTATTTTGTTCTCAAGTTTCGTCGTTTCTGTCAATGAGAACAACAAGAACAAAAAGATCTTCCGATGAATGAAAGGTAGATTTTCATCTATTTACTTTTTGTATTCCAGCATGATTTTAATGCATTCAAAAATATTCAACTCATCAATTCACGCCAAGCATATTTCCTGGTAGTTTAGTACCAGGAATATTTGGGACATAGCGAATCACAAGCTACACGACATCCATGTTGTGAAAAGGTTTCTCAATATATACTGTAATTCAAAAACCAGAGAAAACCGAATAAAAAATAAATAATAATGTGATTCAAAGAAAAAATCGAACATCTGTGCTTTTTTGCTCAGGTACAGCCCAACTTACGTTTTTCCTCCAACTGGTTTTCAATCTATTGCACACCAAGAACCACATGATCCCGGAGAAAGTCGGAGAAGTTTAAAAAAATCAAGAATCATATCCATTGGAACAGTTAGTCGATCACGAGTGCTTTTTTTTTTTTCCTCATAGCTTTCCTGTCTGGATGCTCGTTTACTTCTTGCTCTTTATTCCTTACACACTAGGGCCACACGGCTGGAAAGAACTCTGGCAACCAATGACGCAACAAAGGGCCACACATCACGCTTCATCTCACAGGAATGCGTGCATTATTTTATTTTATTTTCTAAAAGAGTCTTTTATACCTTGAGCAACCTTCCTAACTTCAGGGTTCCTCAGTGTGCTAGCAGCTTTTACGTTGTTAGGCAGGGGCTGCACGCAATAAGGCAAAGTTCTTCTCGCTCTCTTAGGGCTTAGGAAGGGAAGCCAAGGAAGAACCCACGAACAATAAGCTGACGTCGAAGGTCGCATCCCCAAATAAAGAAGCTCAAGCACGTTTAAAATAATGCCGAAGAAGCGGTCTCGGGTTTCCTTTCTACAAACGCTTAGGGAATACTAATTTCGCGCAAATGAAAAATTCGGTGCATACTGTACGAAAAAAAATGGCCATCTTAGGCCAGTCTGCTCTGGATACTGGCAATCATACAGCGCGAAATTGAATTTCCAGAAAAAATTATTCTTCAAGGGAAATTTACTGCGAAGAGAGCGAAGCTTATTTATTCATCAGGTTTCGTCTTAAAGTCGTCGCGCAGACACAAAAACTTGTATTTGGTCTCAGTTGTCAGGAATATGTCGTAAATCCTCACGGTGGTTTCGTCATTGCGGAAGTATTGCTATTTTTACAACTGCAGATGAAGGGATCAAGGAGAAACGAATTTAGAAAATTATATCCCGCACAATTCCTTGTTGGCTTTAGGATATTATTCACGCGAAGCAATTGATTACCGTGGACATTTTTAGATTATCGTAAAGTTTTGCGTCAATTCCTTTCAGCGTAGCAAAGCTAATCGAAGCGACGAATCTGCCGAAATGTCGCAGCGAAATCTGTGTTTTTCTTTTTTAAACTAACAAATGAACAAAACGTGGAACAATCGAAATTAAGAGTGACTTTTTCATCCATGTTTTTCACAACACATTCTCGGGTACTCAACGCATTACGCAGCAGAATGAAAGAGGGTTATTCCAGAAGTTCAGTACAGTATTTTCAGTACTTGCAGTTCTTGGAGTACCCGGATTCTTGCTTCAGAATTTTCGGAGTTTTTTTCGGTAAAAATAACAGGAGTTAAAAAAAATCTCACTTTATGACAAACTTTGGGTAACAAAAGACACAATTCCCATCATGAGAAATTTGTTCCATTCGAGCATGGTTTTTAAATCTCAGATATTTTCGCTAAAAAAATGCGCTAATCGGCTGGCGATTGCAAATCTTGAAATTTATTTTTTCAAGTACAAAAATGCAAGCGTCGCAGGTAAATCTTGCACCCTCACATTGATATCATGCCTTTTAATTCGAATTTTTAAATCTTCAATCACACCCGCATCAGCCGAAATTTAAAGAGTGGTCAGAAAACTATGAAATACACAGTAGTGCTGAGGTGCAAAGTAGTGAATTTTTGCGAGAATTCATCTCACAAAACTTACGAACCAACCCTCGCACATCGTACTTTTTTGTGTCATCTTATTCCCCGGAAGAATCATTCAGCAGCGGATTTTGTCGTGACTCGGAGCAAGATCTCGTCTTTTCAACGTACATGGTTCGTTTCCTCATCGATCAACGAACCAGCTCAGCAGCACTTGCAGACCTTTGCCCGTTCGCTGCACGCAACAACGTTAAGTTCTTTTCTGTTTTAAAAATTTTCTTTTTTATATACCGGATCAGGAAGAAGACGTGCGACGAGCACAAAGCAGTTGGCGTCGAATCGCAAGGGCACTTCCTCTTCAAGCCGGGTTATCTTTCCATTCATGTCATGACGACAAAACGGAGAGGGGGGGTTCCTCGAACTAATACCGAATACACTAGCCAGCTGTCTACTTCGCTACTAAGTAACATTCATGAACACTCGTAAAAACTTCTCCGGTGTCTCGCTTTTTACGTCATAATCCCGACGGGGACGCGAGAGAAGATATCTTTGGAGCTCGATTCCAACTTGAGTCACGGTCACTCGTCATCCCGTTCCTCGAGTCAAGATTGTTTCGCCCTCCCGGGAAAGGAAAAAGAAACAGTTATTCCTTCTTTTCTTTTTTACTCAGTTCTAAATTTTCA